AGAGTATAAGAGGGTGAGACAGTAGTCGGCTTCAGGAAAGAGCAGAAAGGGCAGCAGCACAATAACAAGGCGTGACTTCTAAAGTAAACCAGGTCGTTGGTCATACTGGGAAATACATGGTGCTTATTATAGGTAGAGTATGAGTAAGGCTGTTCTGATGGTACACTTACAGTATGATGGTTGAGCTAACTGACACCAATCTGTTTGCTTGTTGTTTCTTATTCCAGAAATGAACATGAGAGGAGTTAAAAAAACAGCATGAAATTTGGGTAGACATTGTTAGGAAGCTCAGACATCTTCCGCCCCCCCCCCCCCCTCCCTCACTGTACTGGACTCCCAGAGGATATTCACACAGCAAAACTGAAAACTGTTGTAGATTGTTAGGAATCGATGCAGATCACATTAGAGTAGTTTTTAAATTATTTTCAGCTGAGCTGCATATAAAGCATGGTGAGAAGGAAAAGAGGAGGGGGCCGAAATAAGCTGTTATGGAGAATGTGAAACTGAATCAGTGAGGAAGATGCCACAGGGAGAAGGGACACTTACACAGTGCATTTTCATCCAGACCTCCACCAAAAAAAAAAAAAAAATTACTGGGCATTTTAAATAAAATTTGCACCTAAAGAACATACTGCACACTCACCATTCCTTTAAAAGTAATGCAACCAAAATATGTCCATGGTTGCTTTAGTCTGTGTGCTCTGGAGAACAAACTCTGCAGCTGGATTGGATGTGAAACAAAGGACGACACCTAAGAAGCAGAAATGGTAGCAACTTCTGCAGGCTTTGTAATGCTGTGCGTCTCATTGTCTCCTAAAGTCTTCAAAATTGCTTTGGAGTGAATGATAAATATATTATCTTCCTTTTCAGAAATAAGATATTTTAAGTCAAAATCCTGAATGGCTATACCTGAATTCCAAATATCTACTAAACACCACTTATCTAACTCTCTAGATTGGTTTGAAATGAAGCAATTATGACAAAGATAAAGACCAAGCTTTACTATGCACAGGGGAGGATGTATGATGCTGTGGGCCCAGGAACTTTGTTAGATCTAATGCCTTAATTTTGTTTAGAATTGCAGTTGGTAGCAGATGACATTGGGTCCTTATGGGTTTTCCCCCGATGGATAATGGTATAAATTCTACAAAATCAACTGAACACAAGATGGTTCAGGTAACATGAAGGAGGTTCCATCACCATCTTAGTCCTAAAACATAATTCCTGAAACTATCTACTAAAAACCACTTATCTAACTCTCTAGATTGGTTTGAAATGACGCAATTATGATCAAGATAAAGACCAAGCTTTACTATGCACAGGGGAGGATGTGTGATGCTGTGGGCCCAGGAACTTTGTTTTTTAATAGATAATGGTACAAAATCTACCAAATCAACTGAACACAAGATGGTTCAGGTAACATGAAGGAGGTTCCATCACCATCTTAGTCCTAAAACATAATTGCTGAACCAGTAGAGGTTCCACCAGGCTGTATGCTTGGCCCATTAGCAAAAGAAAAAAAAAAACATTGTTGCTCTCTTAAACAATTATTTAATATTAGCTGTAGAGTACTTTAAGGACATTTGATCAGCATCAGATAGTTGTTTTTTTGGTAAGCTTTAACAATATAAACAGTCTAAAAAATTTCTTTAGGTATTTGGGGCATCAACAAAAGTCTTGGTAAAATGAAACCATAAACCAATAACATACAGTTGTGCTTGAACATTTGCGAACCCTCCCATTAAAGAAAATGATAAATTCACACTAGTAATTCAAATAACACAAAACTAAAAAAGTAATAATAAATGAAAGTTTCTGTTTAAACAGAAACCCTGTTTAAAGAGGGAGCTTTTAAATGCTTTTTGAGTTCGAAGACTTAACCAAATGTAGCAATCGAGGAAGATTGCTAGAAAACTGAGCTTCATTTAGAAATCACAAAACAGCCGTGTTGTTTGTAAGCAGAATATAAGTTTAAAAAAAAGAATCTAAAATTATTTTAATCTATCTGAAGCAAATGAAAGACTATCAGGTTCCATGCAGCCATTTTTAATCAACTATTGTCTCTTTTTAAGATTCTCCATCCGGCATCTAAAACAATAGAGCGGAAATAAAACAATAAAAGGTGATGATTTTTGTCATTTTAAAAAGTTTTTATTTTATTTGATTAATTATCATTATTTATCAACTATACTTATACAGCTTGATGCTTTAATGTTTGTTAGCTGTCAGAATTCAGCCAGAATTCTCAGGGAAAAAAAACAGAATTCTGAGAAAAAAGTCAGAATTCTGAGATTAAAATCAGAATTCTGAGAAAAAAGTCAGAATTCTGAGAAAAAGTCAGAATTCTGAGAAAAAAGTCAGAATTCTCATACTGAAATCAGAATTCTGAGATTACAGTCAGAATTCTGAGAAAAAAAGTCATAATTCTGAGAAAAAAGTCAGAATTCTGAGATTAAAATCAGAATTCTGAGATTACAGTCAGAATTCTGAGATTACAGTCAGAATTCTGAGAAAAAAGTCAGAATTCTGAGATTACAGTCAGAATTCTGAGATTACAGTCAGAATTCTCAGATTAAAATCAGAATTCTGAGAAAAAAAGTCAGAATTCTGAGAAAAAAGTCAGAATTCTGAGATTAAAATCAGAATTCGGAGATTACAGTCAGAATTCTGAGAAAAAAAGTCATAATTCTGAGAAAAAAGTCAGAATTCTGAGATTAAAATCAGAATTCTGAGATTACAATCAGAATTCTGAGATTACAGTCATAATTCTGAGAAAAAAGTCAGAATTCTGAGATTACAGTCAGAATTCTGAGAAAAAAGTCAGAATTCTCAGATTAAAATCAGAATTCTGAGAAAAAAAGTCAGAATTCTGAGAAAAAAGTCAAAATTCTGAGATTAAAAATCAGAATTCTGAGAAAAAAGTCAGAATTCTCAGATTAAAATCAGAATTCTGAGGGAAAAAAAGTGAGAATTCTGAGATTAAAATTAGAATTCTGAGCAAAAAAGTCACAATTCTCACTGTTTTCCCATATTGAACTGAATTAATATTTTTTAAAAAATCGGTAAACTTTCTTTTTTTTCCATTGGCCCTAATCCTCTTCCTTAGAAAAAAATCTCACACATTTCCAGATTTATTTACACATTTTCAAATCCCGCTGCACACCCACAAATCGATATACAGGCACACATCTATGAAGGACCAACTCTGCCATATTTAAAAATAAATACAGAAATAAATAAATGCTCAATAAATGTATAAGCATACAATTAATTGCCAACAAAAAAGTGAGACATAAATGTATATAACTGTTAATTAGCTTCTTTATTTATTTGCCTTTGTAATATTTACCTTATTTATTTTTCTGTCCTTTATAATCTTCAACTTTATTTTTTAAATACTTATATTTTTAAGTATTTATTTATGTGCATGTTATATTATATTTTTGTCTGTTTTATTCTTCCTTTGTATTTTTTTTACCTTAGTTATTCTTCGCCGCTGTTTATTTCTCTCTGCCCTTTTTACATTTCTCTCTGCCCTTTTTACATTTCTCTATGCATTTCTATCTCATTATGCAAATGAGGAGGGGGTGTGTCCTAGAGAGTCAACTTCTGCTCATTGGTTGGCTTGGCTGTCCATCTTCTTAACTCACAGAGCTCAGAGTACTAAGTTAAATGTTCTCTTTTCTGTTGCTGTTGTTCAATAAAAGTACGTTTTAAGATCATTTGAGGCGAGAACCTTATACTTTTAAGCATCACCATATGGCCCATTCACAGATTTAATGCGTAATTTAAAAGAAAATGTGACGAACTTGAGAGGACCGTGGCAACCAGCGGAGCTCCGAAGCTGACGGCAGCCAGGTCTATAGCCAGGCTATGATGGCGATTTTTTGTTGTATTTGGCAAAGTTTGGCAAAGTCCCTACTCAAGTTCTAATGACTTCAGACTCGACATCAGACTCTCCTCCTGTAGATTCCACCGATGTAGTAAAATGCTAACCAACACGCTTCACACACGGCTATGCCGAGAGAGGGCCGCTGCAGATGGGCTGTGGTCGGACCTGGCTGCCGTCAGCTTCGGAGCTCCGCTGGTGCCGCGGTCCTCTCAAGTTCGTCACATTTTCTTTTAAATTACGCATTAAATCTGTGAATGGGCCATATGGTGATGCTTAAAAGTATAAGGTTCTCGCCTCAAATGATCTTAAAACGTACTTTTATTGAACAACAGCAACAGAAAAGAGAACATTTAACTTAGTACTCTGAGCTCTGTGAGTTAAGAAGATGGACAGCCAAGCCAACTAATGAGCAGAAGTTGACTCTCTAGGACACACCCCCACCTCATTTGCATAATGAGATAGAAATGCGTACAGAAATGTAAAAAAGGGCATAGAGAAATGTAAAAAGGGCAGAGAGAAATAAACAGCGGCGAAGAAATAACTAAGGTAAAAAAATACAAAGGAAGAATAAAACAGACAAAAATATAATAACATGCACATAAATAAATACTTAAAAATATAAGTAATTAAAAAATAAAGTTGAAGATTATAAAGGACAGAAAAATAAATAAGGTAAATATTACAAAGGCAAATAAATAAAGAAGCTAATTAACAGTTATATACATTTATGTCTCACTTTTTTGTTGGCAATTAATTGTATGCTTATACATTTATTGAGCATTTATTTATTTCTGTATTTATTTTTAAATATGGCAGAGTTGGTCCTTCATACACATCTCTCCACAAAACACGTGCAAATAATTTTGCATCAATATTGCCCCCATAAGTGAACTACTGAACAGTCTGGTGTCTCGGTGCGCTTTTCATATCTAACAGTTGACTTCCGCTCCTGCTTATAAATTTTCTCTCCAGCTCTTTGGGCCACCAGCTGATTCATGTGTCTCTGCAGGAGCTCACAATTATCACAATTATCTACATTTCTCAGAGCTCATTTTTCTGGCCTTTTGTCAGTCTGCACCAAATTAACCCTTTGACCAAGCTGCGTGACGTGATGCGGCTCTCTAATTCCGGATAATTATGCAAAGCAGTTAATCACAGCGGTGTGTGAACCACCTAATTGACTGCCTGCTCGCGCTTCCCTGCGCCACCTAGTGGCCGCTTTAAGCCCCCCATCCTCCTATCCTATTTAATAAATTATTTTTCCGCCGGGAGAAATAAAGTGCCCGTGCAAGCGGAGCGGGGACATCGGTGGCTCTTTGGAACCGCGGCGCATCGCTTTCATTCCCGTGACTGCGGTGATTAAAGTTCAGCTGCTCGCAGACGCGCTTCCTCGCGGGAAACTGCGCGTTTTAATGAGCGTCAGTTTTCCATTTCTCCACTTCAGATCATTTGTTGCTGTCCTACAGTCGGAGAGCTGCGTCTCAGCCCAGCGCACTGACGGATACGGACCGACTTCAAGGATCACAGGTACAGTTGATTCATTTGGATTGATCTGAACGCATTTAGATGGATTCCACTGGCTTCACATCAACTTTTACCACTGCGTTTCAACTCTTTTTTTAATGCTACAATAGTCACTCTAAAATTAGTGTAAAATTCAGTGGCACGGTGGAAATAATGTTAAAAAAAAAAAGCAGAATGAGCTCCATGCATGTTGGTGGAACCTGCGGAAGAGGATGCACCTGTGGAGGCGGCATCAGAGTGACCGAACTGTGTCTTTATAAGCTCCATAAGAAAAGGAGATTTTTTTTTTCTGAGAAGCATCTGAGGTTTCATTGAGCACTTCAGGGCGCAGCATCCACCCAGCAAAGAGAGCAGACAACATGCAACATGTTCATAAAACCAGCTCAGATAGTCCAGCTAAGCAGATGGTTTCTTTATGATACAGTCCAACTCTGCTTTTCTGTATTGTGTGTTTATTATTTTATATTTCTGGCATGCTGCTGCAATATCACAGCTTTTTTTCTTTCCTGTCCATCACTGTCAGACATTCATCTCTCTGCTTCCTGCTGGTTTTAACCTCTCTCCATCTCCTCCATGCGTTCTGACTCTTCCTGCCAGGCACTGTGTATGAGCAAATGTTCACCTTGCTGCACTGCACATAATCCTGAGATTATGTGACAGTTCTGCAAGGGTTTGGGTTTTTTTTTGTGTTGTGGGATGTTTAGGCAAACTTTTGTCCGATTTGGGTCACTTGGAAGATTTACAGTCAGAAGATAAAATATAATTAGACAGCCCTGCAGCATTCTGTAGTTGCTGGCAGATGGCTTAATACTCTTGGATCGTTTCTCGGTGTCCCTTAATGCTCTAATTGGGTTTCATCACTTCATGATGTGTGTACACATGAAGAAAAGAGATTTAAAACACTGTTGATTCAATCCTAACTCAGCCTTATCAGGTCCAACTCGGCTTTCTAAATATTTCACATCTAATCCCCTGTAATTTCCTTCAAATGAATGTGAAATCCTACTGTAAATAGCTTCATCGCTGTATTTTGCCTTCTAGATGTGGTGTTGGGGTTCGGCTCAGTGAAGTTGCAAGGACTCTATAACGTGCAGCCAATGAACTGTGCACCCTGGTCAGGGCATATTTGTCTCTCCGAGTTACTTCCAGCCCAAGGAGATGGTTTTCCCTCTGAAGGACATCCACTCAGTGTTCAGAGGGACATCTGTAGCAGTTTTACTGCGAGTTGATAGGAATCGGATTACTCCATGTGGAATAAATGCTTCCTGTCACCAGAAGGTTTTGTCAGTTTGATCATTCTTCCATCAGGAGCATTGCAACCTGGATTCAGATGAGGATACTAGATTATGTCTAAATTCAGTTAACATTTAGATTAAGCCACATTGTTACATGCATTGGCCACTTTGTTAGGTACACCATGTAGTTACTAGTTGCTTCCGCTTCAGGATTTTTTATGGCAAATATGACAACATCACATTTTTGGTGATTATTTTTTTAAGCTTTACTCCCTTGATGCATATCTGCTGCTCATTACATCCCAAAGGTCTTCATTTAGACTGATCTGGTGACTTTGGAGGTTTTAGGAGAATAGAAAACCCTCTGAAAAGTTTAAGACATGGTGCATGAACCTGCAGGAAGAAACTATCAGAAGCTCTGCTCTTAAATGTAATTACTTGGTCAGGAATAATGTAGTGGTGTGGAAAGTGTAAAGGATTCAAATAGTGTCAAGGAAGTTAACTCATACCATTATACTACCACCAGGCTTAACTGCTTATACTAGGCAGAACCATGTTGTGTTGTTTATGCCCATTTCTGACCCTGCTATCTGAATGTTGCAGATTCATAGGTAGAGCTTTTTTTGCAAATTGTTTCGAGTTCTTAGCGGACAACTTGGCCGCCGTTGGGGTTTTCTTCTGCTGTACATACCTCATCCACTTCAAGGTTTCTATGTGCTGTGTTTTCAGACATGGTCTTCTGGTTATAAAAAAAAAAGCGTATTTTAGGGAGTTTTTCCTCTCTACTGTCGCTACAAGCATGCTTAGTGTGAGGGGTAATCTTTGAGTCAATGAGTCGATGCAATCAACTGGTTTTCCTTGGATAGAAAACTTTGAATCAGTTTGACTATGATCTGGGTGAACTGTAAAGTGCCTTGAGATGACATGATGTGAATTGGAGCTATATACTGTATATAAACTGAATTGAAATTGAATCGGATTTTAGCTTCTGTTTTCTTTGCATCCCTGTGATGCGACCTGTCCAGGTTGTCCACCCCTCGCGAACCTGCTTGGGATAAGTGTGACAGAAAATGGAGGGATAGATAGATGTCTTTGTATCCTACCCAATCTCCTTTGATCTCTTAAATCAAACATATTTTGATCCCCTCAAATGCGTCTTGCTGGATCATTACTAGTTGTTCCAATATTCTAGAGAGTAGATCAGTAGTTTCCAAATGCTCAGAAGGACCCATCTCGCACAACGCTCGTTTTCAACTCCAGCAGTTTTCTTCTACATGTCTAGATGCCTTAATCCTTTTAGACGTAGATATTTGTGAGTTAATTAAATGTTTGAGCCGTCATTGGGTTTCATCCATACTCTATATGCATGCCCTTGCAGGGACACTGAGAACAAGCCACAATGCACTCACCTTAAACCTCACTGCAAATTAGAGAGACCAATAAACCCAGCAGGTTTTTTTATTTATTGTGGTTAGAAGGCTTGAGTCGACAGAAGGAGAACATGCAAACACAAAAAGGTGTGCGATCTTCCTGCTAAAGTGCAACAGTGCAACTTCTGAATCACCCGGAAGCCCCATGATTGAACATACATTATGTACTTAACCCTATAATGCCAAATGTTTCATATTTGATACATACGGTTTCTGAAATTTTTGGGTCTGACACCTTTTGCATAATTTAATGGTAAAAACTTTGCTTAAAATCCTATTGTACACAATCAGATATACCTGATAACAGCCAGTGGAAGACTACACAAAAAATAATCTTGACTTATCGCATAGTAATAAATTATTAATATCAAAAATTTATTTCTGTTTTTTCTTTTTACATATTTTGTTAAAAGGCCAAATAAGGACTTCAAACCAAAAAAAAGTAATTATCTGCTTTGTTTTATTCTTGGATCGGGCTTTAAAGGGTTAATATAGTAGACTGTTATTTTATATGAAATTGATTGTTTAAAAAGTCGTGAGGACCGTAAATAAAGTTTGTAAAACACACAATACCAGCAAGCACATAATAATATTTGATAATATTGTTTAATTTATTCAGGAGTTCAAATGTAACATCTCAGCATTTGGGTTTTGTTTTTTTTCTAAATCCACGTTAATCTTAATTATAATAGCAATTAAACATGTGAAACATTTTAAAAAAAAATTAGCCGTCTGAGTTTCATCCTTGACGTTTCAGACATAGACTTGATGTCAGCTAAAAAATGCTCACTGGGTTGTGAGATGGAGCCCATTTGTCTGTTTTTTTTTCTTTTTTATCAGGACACGGATCATGAGTATGAAAAGCTGTAAATGTTTCTGAACAAGCTTTGGAAGGAAGCATGTTGTGTCACAGCAGGTTTTGTTCCAAACTTCCTTTTCTTCCAAAGTTCTTCCCTCCAGGTAGGCAGTAAACATTTACCTGGATGGCCCTGGGAATCAGACTAAGGCCCCGTCTACACAAAGTCAAAACGAACACTAAACGCTAATATTTTCCAGAACGTTTGTCGTAAAGATGGAGACGTAAAATAAATGTGATCGTCCACACAAATGCAAGAAAACGCTGCAAAGTGTATGCCAGGCCTGTAGTGGCGCTGTGGTGCCAAAGCAAAAATAGCAGACGAAATGTTGGGCATGCGCACTAATATTTATACATGGTTGCCCTGCGGGTCCATTTTCGTGGTTCAGTCAAATTCAGGTGCTGAACTATGTGGTCGATATTGCTCTGTTCTTCCTGGAGATATTCCAGAAGAAGAAGATTCTGTTGTAAGCCCGACAGCAGGGTGAGTAGCATGAGCAGCAACCATTCAACACAGTACGGCGCAATTGTTGTTGTGATACTGTGTCGCGCATGCGTGTTTAGAGGCGACGCTATGACGCATGCGTGTAAGAAAAAAATGCGGCTAGAGCTTAAAGATGGAAACGCGAAAACGGCGTTTCAAAATCTTCCCACTCTGAAGGCTTAATAAAAAAAAGATTGTTTACAGACCCCCGAAACGCCGGCTTCGTATGGATGAGAGGCTGGTTTGGTGAAAAATTTGTGCGTTTAGGCCAAGGTTTGACTTCGTGTGGACTGGGCCTAAGCCGCCTTGATAAGCCATAGTTTTTTTTTGTTTTTGGTGATAGACAGGGCTCAGCCTGACACCCTGACTGGTCTGCAGCCAGAGCAGAGGCAACCACTTCAGCTATATTACCTCTCCTTTTGAATCGAAACACAAAGACCAGCACTTCTGGTTTGCAAATCTAAAGGGCTGGTTATCCTCCTGCAGCAGTGTGTCGCAGTGAGCTTGTCACAGATATTTTTGATTTATGCCCAATATTGAAGCGTTCTCTGCGCTATGTTATTCCAGGCCACAATGCAAGAGGGGCAATCACGAACTAGCTGTGGGTCTAGATACGGATGAGGCTGTGAGAAAGTGGGGGCAAGTTTGAAAAAAAAAGAGCAGGGATCCAGGTGGAAAAAGGGTCCCAGCGTTCTCACGCACCTCGCTCTTCTAGCTGGTCCATCTTCAAGAATTGTTTTCCACAATGGCGGTCATACAAACAAAACAAGCCGGTAAGATACCAAAGAGGAAATACACATAGTGTATAGCAGATGTAGATCTGACCAATCAGAGGCCTCCTGTCTACGGAACTGTCTGCGGTCACCTACAAATTTTGTGGAGGTGCAGCAGAGTGTCTGCGGCGGGGGCGGGGCATATCTGCGTTAACTGCGACACGCACGCAGACGACTTGGCTTCTGAGTATAAATCAGTCTTAATTGATAATCACCAGTAGCCTC